AGGATGACCTTGCAAACTGGATAAAGGAGCAACGAGGAAAGGGAATGGCAATTTCGACTGTAAAAATTCGCTTACAAGCAAAATTTATAGCAAAACGAATGAACATAAATGATTTCAAAGGAGGTGTTAGCAGATTTATGAAAAGAAAAAATATTTCTGTGCGTAATAGAACAACAGTCGGGCAACAATTACCAATGGACTGGCAGTATAAAAAGTCATCTTTTCTAAAATATGTGACAGCTATTATTGAGAAAAAAAAAAAAAAAAAAATTCTTCGGTCGCAGATAATAAATATGGATGAAACGCCATTAGCTTTCGACTCTCCTGCAAACAGAACTGTTGATGAAACTGGTGCAAAAACTGTATCTATGTTTACAACGGGGCATGAAAGTACGTCATTTACTTGTGTGTTAGCTTGTGCCGCAAACGGTGACAAGCTAAAGCCGATGATCATTTTTAAACGAAAAACTATTCCGAAGGGAGATGGTATGTCATATATCAGGACTTAGGTTGAGTTTTTGCATCTATACGGCCCACGACGATGTCACGCACAATTTAATCTATTGCGACGTTTCTGTGTAATTTTAATTTTTTTCCCGCCATTTTTCTCGAGTGCGGCGTTTACGCTGATGTGGCCTTTCTTCCGGAAATTACGGTAATCTTTCCATTTTTGATCACTCAAGTTATTTTGTTGTGTTATGTATTGTGACTTATCTTACTTGTCTGACAGTAACATCAGAACAAGCCTACGAAATTCATCGTGGCAAGGAAAGCAAGATTCTGCCTGTTTTTGGCAAGAGTCTTGAGCACCAGACAGATGACAGTACAACTTTGCTCAGTTCCGATCCCAGTTTTGATGGATAGCACCCCAGGGGGACTGGTCCAAGGGTCTCTCACCCCCTCTTTCCCTACCACCAACTTCTCAAGATGACTTTCAGCTTCCCATATATTTAGAGTGCCCCCATGCCGCAGAGACACTGTAAATTTACAACCATCCATGCCTTCTCCAGGATTCGAACCTGGCCCCTTTGGTATTGCAATAAGCTCCCCTAACCACTATGCCATCTGGATGGCAGAAATTATTTTAAAGCTATTTAACTTTCTTACAATTTCCGTATTTTAATATTAGAAATGTATAAATATTTCTTCTGTTTTCCAATATATCCAATATATATATATTTTCCTAACTGATATACTTTAACATACATTTAATTTTTAATACACATTTAATTAATAATAATTGATAATTATAAGCGTCTGCGTGATTTTCATAATTAATAGAAAAAATTCGAACACCCTTATATTCATATCTTGGAATTTTTAATTTCCGCTCCATCTATTTCTTTTTTATATATTGTTATACTGTATTCATGTTTCATGTAAGTAGAATTTGTGTTCTGTTGTATCTATTTATGCCAATTTAAATTTGCATGATAATTTTCATAAACCCGAGCATCATAACTTTAGTTAACAGAAGATGTTTCTAACACCTTGGTATAGATTAATCTTCAATATGCAGCCAATTTTCCGATCTAGCTTCAGGCTTAATTATTTGTAAAATTAATTACTGGAAATTATTTCTAATGAAAAGAAAGACGGTTGGTAAAATCACACTAATATAACTTTTTAATTGCTGTAATTTATAATACAATAAGTTCATGTCATTTATAATAATTTTTATAAAATTTTTCAGTAGTATTGGAATTAAAACAGACTCCTAGTGCTATACAATTAGATTACAATGATTTAGATTGCCATTTTCTTCTTCACTGATAATTTTATGTTATATTCCTAATATTTCATAATAACATACAAATAAGTTAAATTAATTTACCAAATATGTAATCTATAATTCAGTACACATTTTGTGTTTACTAGTATCATATCTTCTATTTTCTTTAATATTGTTACGAAATGTCCAGGTGTGGTAAGAAAGCTTCCCCGCAAAGCAGGTTTAGAGCTGCCACAAAATTCCAAGGGAAGGCAGGGTTGCCACATTTGGCGACGAAATTGGCGATATGCTATAGATGGATGGAAAACCTTCTTGAACGAATTCTTACTGGTTTAGCCCAGAATTTTCTCGAACACAAGCCATATAATCCTTGCTGGCATGCAGAGAGTCAGTCCGTGCAGAGTTAGTATCCAGTTGATAGTCAGTCAGTAAGTGCTTAGTGTAGTGCCAAGTTGGTCATCGAGTGCATCGAGAGAGTCCCTTAGTGTATCACGAGCGAGTGCATCGTCGAGTTTTATCTTAGAGTGTGTTGAGCTCCGGGAACAATTGAACCGAGTCGGAAGCTGTACTCTAGTGTATCGTCGAGTGCATCAATGGAGAGTCTCGAGAGTACATAGAGTTCCGAGAATGACCGAGTAGAGTTGAGAGCTGTACTCTGGTGCTTTGCCATTAAGCTGTATTCCCCATTATAACCTGATAGCAGAGAATCTTGAGAGTACGTGAAGTTCCAAGAATGACTGAACCGTGTCAGGAACTGCACTCTGGTGCTTTGCCATGAAGCTGTCTTCACCGTTATAGCCTGATAGTGTGAAGGCTGTGTTGCTGATTATTTCAGTGTGTTTACGGTAGCTCTTTGATGACTGTACACATGATTTTGGAACTGTCTTGAATAATACTGGGCAATAAAGTGTATTTTAATTTCATCAAGTTTCTTTGTTACTCACTGCAAATCCACAAACCCTCGTACATACGTAAAGAAGAAAAATACACAAGAATGTATTTTTCAACACACAGCATCTCATCAGCCTAATTTCATGAGGTCTTATGACCAAGCAGTAAAGTCACTAAACAACAGTAGTTCAATACGAGTTTCAAATCCTAGAGATACCCCAGCACTTTCTTTCTCTATACACATTTCATTTGTAAAAATGCATTGTAAAAACTTCTGTTTATGAAGTAAAAATGTTTTTAAAATTTATTCTTTAATAATACAGTACAAAGTCTTTAATCCAGACTCGCCGGGACTTCGATTCCAGATTAGGGGTTTTTCCGGATTATAGATCATCAATTTAAATCTGGTAAGATGGCATGCAGAAATTATACAATTAAAAATATGAAACCGTAATTTATAAAATAAGAGCATTATGATCTAAGGGTATCAAAATTTACAAAAAAAAAAAAAAAAAAAAAAAAATGCTTAATATTTATTTCTTTACTTTATAACATTTCTTTCAATGCGTGCATGCATAAGCATACATTAGGCATAGTCAAAATTAGAAATTGCAACAGAAACTATTTTATTGATTCGTTATATTTATAACGACGAGGAAATTGATTTAAATCATATCGGAGTACATCGAGATGATACACTATATTTAGTAAGGAATTATAAGCCGAATAAAATAAAAACATCTGCCCTGAAGATGAGGATAGTGCTAACAGATCAACTTCCAGTTCATTGTGCACCCCCCCCCCCCGCAGAGCAGCATGAAATTGATAAACAGATTTCGGAATGGTTAGAGAAACAAATCACCTCTCTGTCACTTCCTTCATGCCTTTATTCATTTTTTGCAGCAATTCCACTTTTTGTTTAATGAACATAGAAACATGCTTTCGCTTTGTAGATCCTTTGGCAGCTCCAGAATTGGAAACTCTTTTTGACATAATCGAAAGTTCAAGCTTACTTTTGATAAAATTGCTCTAACAGTCTGCCAAAAATAAAAAGCCGGATCCAATTAGAAGATTAAGGAACAGTGCAATCTGCAACATTAACTGAAATAGATAATTAGATAATTTTAGCCTAGCTTATTTCATCCGTTATACATTAAACGCCCATGCATAAACATATTATGTGCATGCGCAGAAAGTTTGTAGCTTTGAGGTCCAGATTATGGATGTCGAGATTAAAGACTTTATACTGTATTGCAAAGTTTTATTCATTGGTAATTTTCATCTTTACCTTAGTGTATCTCTTTGCAAATCGCTATAACAGAAAAATATTTTGCTTTCTATGATTGATACTTAGGTGAAAGTTTTTCCAAAAACATAGACTTTATACATATATCAATAATATGTGGATGATTTCTCCACCTAATTTGCTTAATATGTTTATTAAGGAATCTTCCTGAAAATACTAAGTACTATCCTTTAATATGTTTAATCGCAAACTATATTTCAGTACCAAATAATGGTTTGCATGCCAGTTAACTATATTAAATTTTCCAGTCTAGTTCAGACACCATGACTATTATTATTGAGGAAAGATATTAAATCAATAATAGCATTAATAGATATAATGCATATGTTTTATAATTATTTAAGCTATAACACTATTACAACACTATTTGCTTTAGTATTGTAGTGAATGAAAGATGTTTCTAATGTTAATAACTGTGTTCAGTAATAACTTTTATTTTCTCTGCTAGGTCTTGCATTACTGTTATTCAAGTAATTAGCCTGCTTATTAGATATTCTTTACTTGTTCTAGCGATACATAATTCTATTTTTCTATATTTTTCTTTTCCCGTTGGCTACTATTGTCTTTGAAAAAGGTAAATTTAAACCGTAACCCTCAACGTTTTTCAAGGAAGAGTTCTTTGGAGAGTTTGAAGACTCTATGTATTGTTCTAAGGGAAGAGGAAAACTTCTATTGCTTTATAAGGTATTTATATTCCCCGACAAGGCAAAGGGGGAGATCTTGATTTGCGCAGGTGGGTCATACCAAATAAAAGCATAATGTAAACAAAAAGCAAAATGTAAACTTTTATTGCAAACAGATATAACAATTTTAATAGGTTTTTGACATTATGCAAAGGTTAAAAAAATATATTCCCTTGCTTTGTCCTTAAAAACATCAAGAGGTATTAATCACACACAACTGATTTAATAACAAGAACAAATTTTCACTCTGTTAAAAAGAAATAATGTAGCAAGCACACTGAGTGGCACTGCTAACAAGTATAACATAAACTAAATACAGTATATCAAAAATCCATATTTGATTTACAGTATCTCAAACATAAGACATTGCATACAGAACATAAAATACCTGATTTATAATGAATTCTGAGCCTCCAATAACCACAGAATAGCATGATGTTTGTAAATGAGATACAACAGCTTTAGATATAATATCAGAAGGCAGAGCATTTCCCAATGACGCATGCATTTGAAACTAAAAAAAAATAAAATAAGTTACAAAATACTGCTTAACAGAAGTAGTATATCTACAAAAAATCTAAATCCATTTAATAAATGTGCAAATCATAAACTGTCCATTGAAATTTTTCTCTTCCGAATATAATATTTCATATATTTAACAAAAAATGCGTATCATATAATGGGGCAAAAATAACAGCATAAGCTAATTATGTTATATAATTAATTACATACATATTATTATACACTCAAAAAATATAAATGCAACTTTTGAGTTGATAAAAAAATTAATCTTTTAAGTAGTAGAGAAATTCTGATCCATTCATGTATTTCTAAATTATTTTTTAGTAAAATGTGTATACAGTACAAAGTGTTTAATCCGGACGTCCATAATCCGGAATGATCTATAATCCGTACCTCAAAGCTACAAACTTTCTGCACATGCATAAATGCATTATGCGTTTACGCATGCGTGCTTAATGGATAACGGACGGTATAAGCTAGGCTCAAATTATCTAATTATCTATTTCAGTTAATGTTGCAGATTGCATTGTTCCTTAATCTTCTAATTAGATCCGGCTTATTATTTTTTGCACACTGTTAGAGCAATTTTATAAAAAGTAAGCTTGAACTTTTGATTATGTCAAAAAGAGTTTCCAATTCTGGAGCTGCCAAAGGATTTACAAAGCGAAAGCATGTTTCTATGTCCATCAAACCAAAAGTGGAATTCTGCAAAAAATGGATAAAGGCATATCCCTTGATTCTCTAATCATTCCGAAATATGTTTATCAATTTCACGCTGCTCTGCAGGGGGAGGGGGACGACGGGGCACGAAATGAAGTGGAAGTTGATCTGTCAGCACTATCCTTATCTTCAGGGCAGATGTTTTTATTTTATTCATCTTATAATTCCTTACTAAATGTAGTATTTCATCTTGATGTATTCCATCTTTGATATGATTTAAATCAAATTCCTCATTATTATAAATATCACGAATGCACATCAAATAGTTTTCTGGTTGCAATTTTCTAATTTCGACTATGCGTATGTACGGCTTTACGCATGTGCAAGTTGAAGAACTGTTTAATAAAGTAAATAATAAATATAAAGCTTTTTTTTTTTTTTTGTAAATTTTGATACCCTTTAGATCATAATTGCTCTTTATTCATAAATTACGGTTTCATATTTTAATTTTATAATTTCTGCATGCCATCTTACAGATTTAAACTGATATCTCTACTATTCAGAAGTCAAACAACAAAAATCAGCGTATTTACAAAATTTTGTAAATAACGCTGATTTTTGTTGTTTGACTTCTGAATTAGTATTTATTCGGCGTGTTATTGTGTCTTAATGATGATCTATAATTCAGAAAAACTGATAATCCGGAATCGCTGAAGTCCCGACGAGTCCGGATTAAAGACTTTTGATAGTATATATCTTCTGGAGAACACATACTGCAGAAAATTTAAAATGCACACTCGCACAAAATATACATCTTGAAAAATGAATTATACAGTAATGCATAACAGAAGTGAGAGACTACATACAAATAAGTTCAAAATAAGCAACTGAAATATGTATAAGTTAAAAACATAAAATATACGTGAAAACTATACAAGAATTCATACAAAAAGCTGCAGACTCAGAACTATATATACAAAATAACAAATTCTATCCATGTGACTACTGAAGCTTCGGGATCATGTAGTGGAAGAAGAGGAACCAGATAGTGCAAACAAAAAGATAATGGCGCCAGATGCATAGCTTCAAGGAAAGAACATATTTCTTAAAAATACTTATTTCTAAAATTCATAAATATCAACACTACAACACAAAAACTACACAAAGATCTATTAAAACTGAGCTGCATCTACAGTGTTTACAGTACTAGTTATTTCTATAGAGTTGCAATCAATATTAAGAAATTCAGGTGTAAAAAATGGAACTGATGTCTATGAGTTAGCAAAATATAGTGTGATAAGTATATCTGCACACACATTTACTTTCAACTGTGGAGAGGCCTATATTTGACTATTTTGGACAAATTTAAAATATTTCATGTTTTAGGCATAACTGTGCATAAGGTATATTTAAAAAAAGAAAGCTTAAAAAATATATATTTAAAGATGAGAAAATTTTATGTTAATATTATTCCTTTTATCTAAAAAACAATGGCAAATTTTGTAGGTTTAAGAAGCTGATGCTTCATGTAACATATTCTTTTTATATCTCAAAACTGGAGCATATTTTAAAATATTCAGTCTCATACGACAATCAATCTCATGTACACGATAATAATTTTGTAGAACTATTATAAATCTATTATAGCTGCTCTAAACTTTAAACTATTTATAATTATTTTATAAATTATTGTTAGGTGAGGTTAGATTATTTTAATATAACAAAAGGCGGTACTTATCCGTTTTGCCGGCGCAGGCGATAAAGTCGCCAATAATGGTACAACTCATGCCAAACGTAATCCTCGGTGGTAACCTTTCACGCCTTATTTTCAAAACAAGTCCCAGCTATTTCTATCAGATTGATTGTTTTTCAATGCTACATACAATTATATAGATTTGTCCAGATAGTTCAGTTTATGCCCTAACGCCATTCGCGGTAATAAGTTGATTAGGATGCAATCACACCCTTACCCGAAGGCGAAATATAGAAAGGGCAAAGCCAGGGTCATCATTCTAATGAGAATGCACTAGCAAGTAGCACTGCGTTTACATAATTTCTGAGTAAGTATTCGTACGAATTGAAATAATTCTTGCATTTTTGTATTCCAAATTAAGATTTAAATTGAAATTAATGTAGATAATTACTGAGAGAATAGATTTTTGTGCGTAGTTTACGTGAGATATCGCTTGGGGTCACGTGATATGAACCGACGAATCGGATGTTGTACGATGAAAGCGTCGTAAATTCTTAAATTAATGTGTTTTTACCAATTTATTGGCTTTTTTTTTTACAAAATTTTAAACTATATTAAAATATTTATACCTACAAAATAAAAAATTCTTAAAACTAACGTTTGTCAACACTTTTTATGTGTATACTCTGTGTTTTCACCAATAAAGTCTACTTGGCAAGGTTTGCGCCGGCGAAACGGAAAAGTACCCAAAAGGCTATCTGCCTAAAGGAAGAGACGCCTTAATGGAAAGCTTTCTAAGGAAACTGGTTTGCATTCATGTTACACATGGGGGAAAATCATGAAAATCAACCATGCAGGTAGCCCATTCGCCTGGGTTATTAAACTATGAATTAATCAAATTCTAAAAATTGTTCACTATTTACCTGTAAACATCTCAAATTAGATTCATGTAACATATTAATTAATGCTACAAGCTCTTCCACAAGTACTGATAGATGATTTACAGGAAAAGCCTCAGGATCCTATAAAAGAGAAAAACAGTGAAATTAAAAGGAAAACATTTTTAAATGTTTCATAAACAAAAATATATATCTATTACAATAATGAAGGAAAAGTACAGTACATTTTATTCATAAAAGTACACATACATATATAACATAACAACAACAAAATAAGCTCATTAAAATAGAAATGGTTAATACTAATGTTGCGAATAGGGTTAGATTATTATTTTAATTATGATAAAGCGTATGAATGCTATCAACTGTGGGGATGGACAGCATTGTGGAGAGGACTCAGAAACTGACTCATAAATTCAGACTTACCATGGAGAAAACATGCTCCTGCAGCCCAATTCATTTGTTAGGCCCAAACCCAAGTCGAACTATCAATTTTCAATGATTTACCTTTCAGCCACTGATGGGCTAATGTTGTAAATATTCTGAGACAATAGCAGTTCTTATATTGGGTTGACAGACATCTGGGACTGACTTGCACAAGGCTGGATTGGTAAGTACTGTTGGGACTATATGCCTTAGACTGAAAAAAGCATGGGATTTTTTAAATGGAGATTATGACAAATGAAGCAGAAGAAATTATGGATTTATTTTAGAAAAGACTGAGATGTCCACAAAAGCATAGTAATGTTTTAACTATGAAGATATTTTCAGATAAAATCATATAGATATAGGATTTTGATAGGTTATTCAGTCAACATCTTTACAACAAATTGTTACAGAATACACATAATCTACTTTTCAAGATTCTGAATATTTCATTGATTACTTTCCTTGTTTTATAATTTTTTTCTAAAATTCATTCACAGAGGGTATGTTTGTAATACAAAAGATATATTTCTAAGTCATAGGCCTTCTTAACACTGAAATATACTTTTTTAATCATCCTGAAACATCTTCCCTAAAATATGGTAACCCAATGCCTATATGGGCTATTCAAATTTATAGTCATGCTATTTTATGCCCACCTTGCCTTGTTTTAAGAAGTCTTAGCTCCTGTTGAAATTCTTTCATTATGAGTGTTAAATTTATGCTAAATGAATTTTTGAGCTTGTTATTAACTGTGACAATACGACTATTAAATACAGTCAAAAGTCTTTAATCCGGACTCATCGGGACTTCGGCGATTCTGGATTATCGGTTTTTCCGGATTATAGATCATCAGTTTAAATCTGGTAAGATGGCATGCAGAAATTATAAATTAAAAATATGAAACCGTAATTTATGAAATAAAGAGCAATTATGATCTACAGGGTATCAAAATTTACAAAAAAAAAGCTTTATATTTTACTTTATTAAACATTTCTTTCTTTCAACTTGCACATGCGTAAAGCATACATTATGCATAGTCGAAATTAGAAAATTGCAACCAGAAAACTATTTTGATGTGTATTCGTGATATTTATAATGATGAGGAATTTGATTTAAATCATATCAAAGACGGAGTACATCGAGATGAAATACTACATTTAGTAAGGAATTACAAGATGAATAAAATAAAAACATCTGCCCCGAAGATAAGGATAGTGCTGGCAGATCAACTTCCACTTCATTTCGCGCCCCGTCGTCCCCCCCCCTCCCTGCAGCAGCGTGAAATTGATAAACATATTTCGGAATGATTAGAGAATCAAGGGATATGCCTTTATCCATTTTTTGCAGAATTCCACTTTTTGTTTGATGGACATAGAAACATGCTTTCGCTTTGTAGATCCTTTGGCAGCTCCAGAATTGGAAACTCTTTTTGACATAATCAAAAGTTCAAGCTTACTTTTTATAAAATTGCTCTAACAGTGTGCAAAAAATAATAAGCCGGATCTAATTAGAAGATTAAGGAACAATGCAATCTGCAACATTAACCGAAATAGATAATTAGATAATTTTAGCTTAGCTTATACCATCCGTTATACATTAAACGCGCATGCGTAAACGTATTATGCGCATGCGTTAACGCATTATGCGTTGATGCATGAGCAGAAAGTTTGTAGCTTTGAGGTCCGGATTATAGATCATTCCGAATTATGGACGTCTGGATTAAAGACTTTTGAAAGTACTAGTACTTTATTCCAGGTTTCTACCTTCCAAATAACTGAGTAGATTGACAAAATGAGGATTTTGCGGCTTTTCTTGTGTGAAATGTATATGCAGATCAGTTTTCCTTAAAAAGACCCCATGAAATTATCCCTCTTGAAGTAGATAGCTCTTCCGTACTTTGCTACAGTTAATTAATGCAGGCATTGTAACTCAAATAGGTTCTGTCATAACTTGATTCTAAGATGTCATAATCAAATTCTTTATTCTGTTCTTAATAATGAGAACACTGTCGTAATTAACTTAACTAATCAACTTAAACATTTTATTTCAAACTCCAAAATGCTGTCAAATTTTTTATTTTTAGTACAAAGTCCGTAATCCGGACTCGTCGGGACTTCAGATATTCCACATTAGGGGTTTTTCCGGATTATAGATCATCAATTTAAATCCGGTAAGATGGCATGCAGAAATTATACAATTAAAAATATGAAATCATAATTTATGAAATAAAAAACAATTATGATCTAAAGGGTTTCAAAATTTACAAAAAAAGCTTGATACTTATTTGTTTACTTTATTAAACATTTCTTTCAATCCAAGTTGTTTAAGATGTTCCACAAAAAATTCAAAAAGTTCCTTTTTCTTGTTTTTCGTATAGGGATTTCCATGCATCTCTTGCATAATTTTGAGATGGAGGCTTATACATTTTTTGCAGCAATTCCCTTTTTGTTAATGGACATTGAAACTGCTTCGCTTTGTAGATCCTTGGCAGCTCCAGATTGGAAACTCTTTTTGACATAATCGAAAGTTCAAGTTAATTTTTATAAAATTTTCTAAAGTCTGCAAAAAATAAGCCGATCCAATTAGAAGATTAAGAAACAGTGCAATCTGCAACATTAACTGAAATGCCTTAGATAATTTTAGCCTAGCTTATACCGTCCATTATACATTAAATGCGTATGCATAAATGCATTATGCGTTTACACATGTACAATCTAACAATGTATTGATTGATGTTGGCCAGGATCACTTTCAGCCCTTGAATGGTTATGTATGGTGGCAGAGCCAATGCTATGCACTTTGCTGACCAGAACAATCTCTGTGGGTTCTATATTCTGTTGGACATCTCCTTAAATTCTAAAGAAACTCACTGCCCAATGCCTTTCCTAAATTTAAAAGTTTTACCATCCCTGATTTTTTGCTGCTCAATGCTCCTTTAAATTCTAAAATTTTTGCCACAACACCAGCCCTTTTGGAGGTTATCTTTCTTCTATATGATCTAAACAATAAGTGAAGCCTCAATGTTGCCCTGTCAACATATCATTTTGCTAGATTTAAATGATGAACTAAATCGCTAAAATTTAATAATTATGGATCGCTAAAATTTAATAATTATGGATCCTGGATTTCGGTCAACATTATTCACATATTTGATTTTGACAACATTACCATCAATTGCATGTAAATTATT